TTTAGCTCTGGTTAATCGAGACTAAAGAAGATGGCAGTGTTGTAAGTCTATATTTAATGAATAGAGATGAAATGAGAGCAGTATGGTGGCCGCAAAGATGTTACATAACAGAGCCCAGCAGCCTTCCAGACTGGGAGCGTATGCTGTACTGCAGCTGTCCTGGACTGAAAAGCTTGGGGACAAATTCAATTTGTAGCCAGCAAGGATGAGAAGTAAGGGTGAGAACTAAGGGTGTTTGTGATGCATGCTGCCTGCACAAGTACTGGTTACTAAACTCCTTTTCTCGAGCTTTCTCCTGGCCAGGGCTGTACATTAACTTTTTTTGCACATAGCCCTGGTGCAACAGAGGTTGAAACTTTATAGCACAGGCCACAAAATTGTAGCAAAAGTATAAAAGTATCAGGTAAGTCTATTGCAGTTTAAACTATTCAAATTCAGTGTTATGGGGAGTTTAAGTCATTTTCTATGATCTGCAAATGAATTTAGCACTAAAAAAAAAGGTAGACATTGTTTAAATTATCGTAAATAAGTAGGCCCAATTCCAATCTGGCCCCTAAAGACTCAAGCCCTGAACCCTCACTGACTTAACTGACGTCAGCTGTAAGTGATTGAGTGTGAGAGTCTGAAAGGGCTCCGGATGCTATAAACAGGAATGGGACAGCACTTATCCCCCTCTCTACAAAATGTTGTTGACACTGGCGGCTCTGGGCGTGATCATTTATCGGTTATTGTCAGCACGCACGTGTGAGGGATAGACTCCCTGATCAGTCAATCCTTATCCAAGCACTTGCGTTGCAAAATGGGCAAGAGGTAAGTTTGAAATAATGAATTTACTGTGTTTTTACCATATGCATGTTTTTTCTAAACTAGCATCAAAAGTGTTGTAAGTGATGTAGTGATATCTATCTTATATATATATATATCTATATCGTTACCATTTGCAGATCTGCCGACCGTGTTTATTTGGGACAGCCCTCACACACCCACGCACTTCACATAAACGCGCCTCTAAGTCAGTGAGTCTGTAAGGGATCAGATTGGAATTGGGCTGTAGATTCACCTCACACAAGAGGGCTGAATTGCTTATTCTTCTTTTAAATAAGTCTTCATTTGAAGTGTTACAAACAATGCATTTCACCCATGGCTTCATCAGGTTTGTTTTAATTATCTCCAGGCTATTCATTTATTAGTATTCGTATTAATATTCATGCACATAGAACAGCCACAGGAAGTAAAGGTGGTGAGAAATATATCACAGACTGGACTCTAAACAGGGAAAAACAGAATGACGGCGGAATGGATGAAATGCGGTTTGATTGTGCATCGGCAGGTCGCGTCAGAAGGGGTCAGTTGAGGTGGTTCGGGCATCTGACTAGGATGCCTCCTGGGCACCTTCCGCTGGAGGTGTCCCGGGCACGTCCCACTGGCGAGAGGCCCTGGGGCAGACCCAGAACACGCTGGAGGGATTACATATCTCGTCTGGCCTGGGAACGCCTTGGGGTTCCCCAGGAGGAGCTGGAAGGCTTTGCCGGGGAGAGGGATGTCTGGGGTGCTTTGCTTGCCCTGCTGCCCCTGCGACCCGGCCCCAGATAAGCGGATAAAAATGGATGGATGGATGGATCGGCAGGTCAGTGTAATATAATGTTACAGGTCTGGTGTATGAAATGTCTGTATCATCACAGCGCTGCTGCATTTTTATTGACAAAATTGTTGTCCGCATCCAGGTGCCACCTCACTGTCACACAGTGTGAACTACCAAGCAGAATAGCAATGCATGACTGATTGACCTCAGACACACTCGCATTAAACAAAGCGCTTCTGTCTCTGGCACATGCAGCACAATGCTGTATAGCACTGGTGCTACAGTGGGAATGTGTTTCATCACACAGACCAGTTTTTGCTAAGTGCGTGGGACATATGTACAACCCTGCCACTGTACACTGTACAACCCTGCCCCTGGCTAACCAGTTTGGAGGACCATTTGCAACTGTTTGACTGAATGTTGTAATAAATACTACTTTATATTTAATTAGGCGAAAAAAATCCACAGTAATGGTGACTGCCTGTATGGGTAATTTAGAGGAAAGTCAGAGATTAACCTGTAATCTGAGTCAAACTAAAAGTTTTTTATTAAGACTGTGGATTTCTGTACTTCTACCTCTATGTCATTTCCTTCTGTACTTGTGTTTGGATTTTCTGGATTGCAGCTACTCTTCACAACATATATCAGTTAGGTAGTTTTACCAATGCCGAGTTCACTGGGAGCAAACAATACCATCAGCATATCATTTGGGGAGACGCAGGGCCAAACTCCATTAATAATTAATTGTTATTCTCTGAAAAGATGCTGACTGCGACTCATGGGATCTGGAGACCAGGATATGAAGTCAAAACTCAATTAAGCAAAAGATAAAATTTATGTGCTAAATTTTTAAATGATAATTCATTATAAGAACTGCTCATTCTTAGTAATTTTATACTGATTATGATTTGTAAACTCTGTAAAAGGACTTGCGGAAAGCAGGGCTTGTCTCAGGCTGTGCTCAGCAGAGAGGGAGAACTGCTGACCCGAGCTGGGGACATCATTTGGCGGTGGAAGGAGCACTTTGAGAACCTCCTGAACCCAGCCATCACGTCACGTCCACTGATCAGGATGCCTCCTGGGCGCCTCCCGCTGGAGGTGTTCCGGGCACGTCCCACTGGTAGGAGGCCCCGGGGCAGACCCAGAACACGCTGAAGGGATTACATATCTTGTCTGGCCTGGGAACGCTTTGCAGTCCCCCAGGAGGAGCTGGAAAGTGTCGCTGGAGGAGAGGGATGTCTGGCGTGCTCTGCTTGGCCTGCTGCCCCCGTGACCCGGCCCCGGATAAGCGGACGAAAATGGATGGATGGATGGATGGATGATTTTTAAAGACTGGTTTAACTTTGTAATTATTTCAAGAACCTGAACTTTTGATTTTTAAAATACAAATAATGTGAGCATGAATTTAAACACCCCACTGTCGTTCACTTATTTTTCCTTTTATGATACAGCTATAAGGGAAGTATCTCGTGGGCTTAGTGACTTGACTTCACAGTGAGCTGAATGTATTTTTATTTCTTTCAATTTGTAAAAGACAGTAGGAACTTATGACATGTCTTTCATTCAGAATACCCCCCCCCCCCCAAAAGTTTGGACACACCTTCTCATTCAATGCGTTTTCTTTATTTTCATGACTATTTACATTGTAGATTCTCACTGAAGGCATCAAAACTATGAATGAACACATGTGGAGTTATGTACTTAACAAAAAAAGGTGAAATAACTGAAAACATGTTTTATATTCTAGTTTCTTCAAAATAGCCACCCTTTGCTCTGATTACTGCTTTGCACACTCTTGGCATTCTCTCCATGAGCTTCAAGAGGTAGTCACCTGAAATGGTTTTCCAACAGTCTTGAAGGAGTTCCCATAGGTGTTTAGCACTTGTTGGCCCCTTTGCCTTCACTCTGCGGTACAGCTCACCCCAAACCATCTCGATTGGGTTCAGGTCCGGTGATTGTGGAGGCCAGGTCATCTGCCGCAGCACTCCATCACTCTCCTTCTTGGTCAAATAGCCCTTACACAGCCTGGAGGTGTGTTTGGGGTCATTGTCCTGTTGAAAAATAAATGATCGTCCAACTAAACGCAAACCGGATGGGATGGCATGTCGCTGCAGGATGCTGTGGTAGCCATGCTGGTTCAGTGTGCCTTCAATTTTGAATAAATCCCCAACAGTGTCACCAGCAAAACACCCCCACACCATCACACCTCCTCCTCCATGCTTCACAGTGGGAACCGGGCATGTGGAATCCATCCGTTCACCTTTTCTGCGTCTCACAAAGACACAGCGCTTGGAAGCAAAGATCTCAAATTTAGACTCATCAGGCCAAAGCACAGATTTCCACTGGTCTAATGTCCATTCCTTGTGTTTCTTGGCCCAAACAAATCTCTTCTGCTTGTTGCCTCTCCTTAGCAGTGGTTTCCTAGCACCTATTTGACCATGAAGGCCTGATTCGCGCAGTCTCCTCTTAACAGTTGTTCTAGAGATGGGTCTGCTGCTAGAACTCTGTGTGGCATTCATCTGGTCTCTGATCTGAGCTGCTGTTAACTTGCGATTTCTGAGGCTGGTGACTCGGATGAACTTATCCTCAGAAGCAGAGGTGACTCTTGGTCTTCCTTTCCTGGGTCGGTCCTCATGTGTGCCAGTTTCGTTGTAGCGCTTGATGGTTTTTGCGACTCCACTTGGGGACACATTTAAAGTTTTTGCAATTTTCCGGACTGACTGACCTTCATTTCTTAAAGTAATGATGGCCACTCGTTTTTCTTTAGTTAGCTGATTGGTTCTTGCCATAGTATGAATTTTAACAGTTGTCCAATAGGGCTGTCGGCTGTGTATTAACCTGACTTCTGCACAACACAACTGATGGTCCCAACCCCATTGATAAAGCAAGAAATTCCACTAATTAACCCTGATAAGGCACACCTGTGAAGTGGAAACCATTTCAGGTGACTACCTCTTGAAGCTCATGGAGAGAATGCCAAGAGTGTGCAAAGCAGTAATCAGAGCAAAGGGTGGCTATTTTGAAGAAACTAGAATATAAAACATGTTTTCAGTTATTTCACCTTTTTTTGTTAAGTACATAACTCCACATGTGTTCATTCATAGTTTTGATGCCTTCAGTGAGAATCTACAATGTAAATAGTCATGAAAATAAAGAAAACGCATTGAATGAGAAGGTGTGTCCAAACTTTCGGCCTGTACTGTACCTTTAACTAGCTACAGCTAAAGTCTGTACCGTCTGTAAATTTGCTCTTTAAAGTGAATAAGCACGAACCACAAAAAAAAAAAAAAAAAAGAAAAAAAGGGAGAAAGAAAAAAAAAATTCAGATGCGCAAATAATGCAAGGCAAAAATTGCACTGAGTTTGCTCAGAACCTTCAGCGAGCTGGCTATATGTTTGTGTCAGTGTTAAGAATATACCTGGAATTACAGGCTCCTGGTGTCTCCCAGTTTAGGCAGGTAGGTGCTTCCATGTGCTGACAAAGGCAGTGGGGATCAGTGAATAAGGCACAGTAGTGATGGAGCTCCAACTATCTGATGTGGGGTCATAACAGTCCAGTGTTTTACACCTCTGCGTCCCAAAATAACCTCCGACCACATACAGTTTATTTCCTGAGGCCACGGCATGGCAACTCATCCGTTTGGATGTCATGTCGCCCACCCGAGTCCACTGATTGGTTTCACAGTCAAAGCGATAAGCAGAGGCAGCAGTGAATTCAGTGTCACCACCCATAATGAAGATCTGGCTCCCTAAGACAGCAGCCGCTGTGTAGCGCCAAGGCTGAGGGCACTCAGCTGCAATATTCCAGCGGTTCCCCACAGGGTCATAGCATTGGACCTAGACATTTAGAAAACACAGGACGTTTGACAGGTGTTAGTCCGTGCAATCATTGATTTTGTTCAGGTGCAACACTAAAATTGATTATAGTGTTGACGCCCTATCTTACTCCCAGTGGAAAGTGGGACAAAGGGGTGCACAGTGCAGCACAACTGCCACTGCTAGTTCCAGACTGACCATCATTACTGAGGAAAATATGAATGGCATTCTGTAAAATGTGAGTATAGAGATCAGAGCAGAGCTGCTGTCAGACTCCCCGTTAAGAGACACTGTGCACACTTACACACAAGGAGCAGTGAAGCTTCATTGATTATTTTTGAAGCTAAAAGTTAAGTTTTGTTTCCTCTGTCAACTTTATAACTACAGTTTTTAGTTTTGCTGCTCTTACTGCTTTACTCTCAGCAGACAGCTGCTCGATTCAATAACTTGCTGAATTCACCATGTAAAAAGCAGTGAATTCATGTTAAGGCCAAAACACACATGTTTAATTAGGGACTAAATACAACTCCTTTGCCCCTAGCACCTTACTTTGTGCTGATTATGTGCTGTTTAACTAGCAACAGTGGAGCTGGACGAATCCTAAATGCACTTGTGCCATGCACTTTAGACTATGCACTATGGATCATTTAGATGGGGCGCTCATTTTAAGGCAGGGTCATTTCAGGCAATCATGGAATAGGTTGTGCTAATGAGTCCTATTATTTTGTTCTGTACATGTCTTACATTATAAAATCAACACATTCACAAGTGGTATACAGAACATTCTATGGCAGCAAGTTCTTCATTGTAACCTGTAAATCAGAAAAAAAAACATATTTTGCTATACTTTCAATATGGTGAAAGTATAGTATAAGTAATCAATTCACAAAGTGAATTGTGGAATATAAAGAACTGCCTTGTCAGTAATTGTCAAGAAGGTTAAAAATAGAAATCCACCAACCTTGGAGGCCTTGTCTCTATGTATGGTGGTCCCTCCAAAAACAAAGAGTTTGAGTTTGGCACTGACCACGGCTGCATTACTGACTCCATCTCTTAGGGGAGCCATCATAGTCCATTTATTACTGAGAGGGTCATACCGCTCAACCTAGGACAACATTACATAGTAACACTTACATACATGTCATCTTTGATTTCAAACAGAGATATGGCTTAGAGTTGAGTCAAAGGCAGACCAGCAGATATTTTACCTCATAACATTCACATTACACCCTGTATGTACTTGTGTACATGTACACACAATTAGGTTTTCATATTTGTTAATCATCATTTGTTAATAATTTGTTTCATTATGTTAATACATAAAAAACATTAATTCTGAGACAATTATCATGAAGATGTCAATACCTGTTTCAGGGAGACAGATGGAGACGCAGGAAAAACTCCCGCTATAGCTGTATGGCCTCCAACAACATAGAGGCTATTCTCCAACTCAGCTGAACCATGGCCAAACCTGGAGAAGAAAAGACCCACATTACAGTATGTGTGTGCATACTTAAGACAATATATGGGCTTGCTGATATGGATCTTTCATTAAACATTGTAGAGTGTGGTCTACCTCTGATATCACTGAGGAACTACTCTGACTGCAGCAGGTCAAAATATTTAAGTAGTCATTGATTTGATAAACCACATCTAACCAGACAAACTGCAGTCACTGCCAAAGCGAGGTTATTCAAGTGGCACTGCAGCCAACAATCATTTTATAGTAGAGATATTTAGCAGGCCAGCCATGAACTGATACATATGTGATCAAGTGGGGGCTAACCCCAACCCAAGTAATTACTAAGGCTATAAATCACAAGTTTCAGCATATTATTATCAAATTAATTGACTCCAATAACACACAAAACATGGCTTGACAACAAGAACGTTGGTGGCTGTGGCTCAGTAGGTAGAGCGGGTCGTTCACTAATCAAAAGATCAGCAGTTCAATCCCCGGCTCCTCCAATCCACACGTCAAAGATACTGAACCCCAAATTGCATCCAATGGCTGTTCCATTGTTGTGTGAGTGTATTTAAAAACTGAGTAGCAGATGGCACCTTGTATGGTAGCCTTAACCACCAGTGTATGAATGTGTGGGTAAAAAGCGCTTTGAGTGGTTGGATGACTAGAAAGGTGCTATACAAGTGCAGGTCCATTTACACATTTAATTTACTCTTGGTACCAAACCTTACCATTATCGGTCTTGTAGAAGTAAGAAGAGTACTTCCTCTCTTATGCCAAACCCACCAAACATCTGATGTCGACTGGACCGCCAGATCAGGTCCATATCGCGTCGGTCAGTCCAGGACCATATCTGTACGTCTACATGACCTCCGTAATAGGTTGTGCATCTGAACGTTGATATGACGTTCAATATTTGAACGCTGTAGTCGATTCTTTTCTGCACACCACATGAAATTTTAAAACAGCCTCTGTAATCAAACCTTAACACATGTGGACTCCCAATACATTTGTAATGTATGTGTGTGTGTGTGTGCGTGTGCATGCCTGTGTGTGTGCGGTATTAGCACAGCAGCAACGGTTGCTACCTGCTGGGTGTTCTGTGCAAGCGCGAACCCGCCAAATTTGAATTTACGTAGCCGTTATAGTTTATTTTTAGCTGCCTGCAGTTGGTCGGAGTCGCAGACATAGACAGAGAGAGAGGTTGAATTGATCGGTAAGTAGCTATATTTAGCACAGTACCTTTTATTTCATGTTAGCAATACAAATCTTTTTAATGTCTACTTTTCCTGTGAACTTTTACTGTGTTCATGATTGTCGTCTGAGAATATCTCCAGCTTTGCTTTTAGTCAGGGCCAATTTCAATGACCGATAGCTAGCTAGCTAACGTTAGCGTCAAAGTTACTATCAGACAGTTTGCATTCTTTGTGCCATTTTGAACCTGATCTCACAGAAATACGTGAAATGACCACGACCTCTTTGGTGGCAGCACGTATCTAGATGCAGTGTAATAACTAGTTCGGCTTCACTAGAAATTAGATATATTCAGTAGATCTATCTTTTTACGATCCTATTTTACAACAAGCTGCAAACAAACCTACTATCCCCAAAACGCTGTTTCTAGCGTATTAGCTAAAATATCGAAAATTAGCCGACATCTTTACTTTTTCTTAACATAGTTCATCTAGGTGTAGTGTAATAACTAGTTCAGCTTTACTAGATATTAGATATATTCAGTAGATCTATCTTTTTACGACCCTATTTTACAAGCCGCAAACAAACCTACTGTCCCAAAAACGCCGTTTCTAGCGTATTAGCTAAAATATCGAAAATTAGCCGACATCTTTACTTTTTCTTAACATAGTTCATCTAGATGCAGTGTCATAACTAGTTCAGCTTTACTAAATATTAGATATACTGGGTAGATATATTTTTTACAACCCTATTTAGAACCGTACTTTGCAAATTAGAAGAACTACAACTATGTTGGGACTGCATGGTGCTGTCCCAGGGAATTGTAGTTTTTAAAAAATATAAGTGTTTTTTCTTAGATTTGGAAGTTGTAAATACTGAATTGAGAGTACACTGTGGACTTTAAGGGGTTGGTAAACACACTTGTGTAATCAGATTTTAAATATCTAATTTCTAAATGGGTGAAAATTTATTTTATCAATTTTATTAATTTTTATTTTATTATTTTTTGTCAGTATGGAGAAGCTGCTTTGACAGCAGCGCCGCCTAGTGTTGAAATTAAGTATCATACAGTGAGATAACATATTTTGTCTTCCAACTTTTTCAGGGGCTGTACTGAAAACATTTAAAGAGGGGACTGAGGATGCTGTCCGCAAACATGCTGGGGAACACCTTAAGCATGCGCCATCCAGAAAAACATATTAAACATACACAAGATAACATTAAACACAACACAACATTAAACATACACAACATTAAACATAGACAAAATAAGTTGAATTTGTGATTTGTGAGAGATGTGGATTTGTGAGAGACAACAATAAAGTGTATTTCATGGGAAAATAGGGACAAGGGGGACAACGCATTACATATACACATTACAATACACCCAAGATAATGGTATTTGTATGTTCTCACAATGGAAGACAACAATTGAAGTGTATTTTGAATGCTGTACTGAATATTTTCATTGAAACACAAGGTTGTAAATGGACCATAATTTGGCCAATATTTTAAATATTTTTGTACATAAAAATTACGTTCAAATTTGGTCCATATAAGACGTCGAGAGGACATCCATACCAACCATTTTTGGACAATATTTTAACCTTGTACAGACGTCCTGTAGCCGTCAAAACTAGACATCCAGAAGAGGTCCAAAAAAGACGTTGTAAAAACTTTCATTCTGCACCCGATGGAAACGTCATTTCTACGTCGGACCATGACATCTAAAAGACGTTGTCACAGCGTCGGTTTGCTCAGTGGGAAACGGATTAAAGCCTGTCTTTGTGAGCTTGTCGGGGGTGCAACTGTATCAACAGGAGAGCCCTTGCAAGCTTCCCTTCCATCAGCAGCAGAGCATTAAAAAAATGTAGATATTTTGGCTTGAATTTCACACATTTGCCCATCTTTGCGTTTTAGGAACTTGCTTCTATTGCACGTAACATAGTCAACTTCAGCAACGGTCACTTCACCTGTTTTTCCTCTCCTGTGCTCCTGTGTGTGTGTGTGTGTGTGTGTGTGGGAGAGAGAGAGAAAGAGAAAGAGAGAGAAAGACAAAGGTGGGTGTGGTGATCAAAGAGCCGTTTGGCCTACAGAACAAAATGGCTGACAACTGTGAGTGTGTGTATGTGTGTGTGTGTGTGTGTGTGTGTGTGTGTGTGTGTCAAAAACACAGTGAAAGACCTGCGGAAGCACAGAGAGGAGTCCATAAATGACAGCAAAACACAGTAAAGACGCTCATGCTGAGCTGGAATGAAACAAGTGTGAACAATTTTATGTTACTGCATAACACCAGAGAGGCTCCCAAATCATTGATTTCCCAAGGATGGATATAAAAGAAAAAAGAAGACTTTTTTCAGTCTGGCAGGCATTCCCTTTGACCTGGCAGCCCACCAGGGCTGTACAATTATAGAGAAAACACTGACTTGTTATTTCAGATAACTTCATGCATTATTAATAAATCAATCCTCGGGGCGTTGGTGGCTTAGTGGATAGAGTAGGTGCCCCATGTACAAGGCAGTTGCTGCAGTGGCCCGGGTTCGACTCCAGCCTGTGGCCCTTTGCTGCATGTCATTTCCCCTCTCTCTCTCCCCCTTTCACACTGATGCTGTCCTATCAATTAAAGGCAAAAACGCCAAAAAAATATCTTTAAAAAAATAAATCAATCCTCAAACTGCTTCCAGAAAAAACACAGTAGCTGGATAAGAACAAACAGGACTATTTTAGCTTGATGACAGTATATTAGCCACAATTAGTAAAGCTACAAATGATGAACAGGGCCCTCATAAACAAACAACAATGGATGACGAAACAAGAGACAGTTTTAATTTGATCCTCTCTTGGTTTCTTTCTGGCCAATATTTGGCAACTACATTACTTGTCAGAAACCTTAGCAAAATGTTATAACAGGTAGAAATTCAATCCCCTTTTGCTATTTCAGTGCACTATAGCAATTTAGCATTAAAAATGCTTGCATTTAGTGATGTCATGAAAAACGATACTCACGATACCTTTTGATTCCATGATGAAAAAACCTGGCGATATTCATCTTTTTGAAAAACCGGAAGAACCCATAACAGCGTAAGAATCGGTGCTATGACTCTTCCGGAACTGATGGGGGCAGTATACTCCATATGGCGTTACAGTCCATGCCTACATTCAGAGCGAGGGGATGATGAGAAAGAGGAGAGAGCTGCTGCCTGCTAAAGCTCACATTCAGAACCAGTCACGGCCACACTTTAGACCAGAAAATAGATCTGCTAGCAATATATGCAGTTTTAAACACCACTTTGTCTGTTTATTAATTGCTTTTAACTTGTTCCAAATTGCTTCTGAACCGTCCATGCTCCGTGCGGAGCTTTGTCTGGACTCTGGACTTCTCCCTCTCTCCCCCAGCCCCTCCCCTGGGAGAGTCCGGTGGTCTCCTATGAGCACAGCCTTTGAGACGTGCAGCACTCTGTTGGGATTTACAGGACCACAGATGATTTGTCATTTGGTAAAATATGAACTGGACATGCAAAGGCTTTCTTCTCTGCATGCTCTTTGTTCTCCAAACAAAGACAGCTATTTGAGACCCATCTCCAGAATGTCTCACCTCACACCTAAGTGAGACTCAAGTCTCAAAACTTGATTGGACAGGACTTTTACAGGGACATGTGACTCTGTGATGTCACAGGCATCCATAGAAGATCTGCTCCCTTCAAACAATTTTCTTTCTTACTTGGGAACTGCTGAGCAGCCCACATCTCTTCTCGGCTGGGCCTGGACCAGCCCAGATGCCCAGGCCCTTGCTCCATTGCCCCAAACCACTA